TCGAAGATGAGAGAGGCATGGACTTGGAATTCTTCTACGACAATGTGGGCAGTTGTGTCAAACCAGCTAGAGACCCTAACCGCATTAGAGCTTTTCTTCAAACATACAAGGAGATTAAAAATGCAAACACCCACTTTCAGCTTCAGGAGGATCTCATTGAGCACCATTTGGCAAATGGCTGGACAGTAACAAACTCATTTTTCCATTCATTTGTATTTGTATTTGTATTCAGGACAAGTTTTCTATTGCATTGTTTGTATTTGTATTTGATGATTTGAATAAATTTTTGTAATGTGGATGATTGTTGTATTATGTTATTATTGATAATTATGGTGTGGTATTGATATTTTTGCAGACCGGTGGAATGCAGGATGCAGCGGTGCAAGAGCAGACCCCGCAAAGCCGACCCGTAAAAAAGCATATTCCGCGAATATCCTTTTGTACGGGTCCGTTTGAGGGGTCTGTCTCTGCGGCCGTCCGCGCCGGCCCGCAAAGACGTTCTTCCGCGAACTGCAAACGCGTTTTGCGGGGCGGCGGGATGCGGGGTCTGCTAGAGTTGCTCTAACTGAAAGGTGCTTTAAGTTCCGCCTGAGCACAGTTGTTTGCGCGTCTGACTTGGTATCCTCAAAAAATAAAATTCTCAAACATCCCGTGCCTAGTAATTTCATTCGGGCAACCAAACACGCACTATGTTTTGAGTTTGCGTGTCGACTTGATATCCTCAAAAGAAAATATTCTCAAACATCCCGGGCCTAGTAATATCATTCGGGCAACCAAACACGCACGATGTTTTGAGTTTGGGCGTCGATTTGACATCCTCAAAAGGATATTCTCAAATGTCCCGGGCCTAGTAATTTCATCCGGGCAACCAAACACGCACTATGTTTTGAGTTTGCGCGTGCGTCGACTTGTGATATCCTCCGGAAAATTGTGCGTCCTGAATAGGCCCGATCCAAGCCGTTGGTTGCTTCCCCGCGTAGACCGATCCATCTGAAACTTCCACCGTGCGGCTAAATTTCATGTTTTGACCCTTTTGGCTAACAAATTCAGAATCTAACCCCCTATGAAAATATTTCGGGATCTGACCCTTTTACCTACCGCCAGGGCCCGTGACGGTAGGCTTTCACGTCCTACCGACATGCTCCCTGGCGGTAGGTCCCTTGAAGGTGACTGGCGGCCGTCTGCTCGTGCTGACGTGGAAAAGGGCATGCCGCCATGGGCCATGGCGGTAGGGTACTAAACCCTACCGCCAAGGAGGGGATGTTTCTCGTAACAGGAAAGATTCCACCCCTGTGCCACACCTTACCGCCAGGGGCTCTGGCGGTAGGTTTTAGCAACCTACCGCCAAGGTCTGTGGCGGTAGGGTCTGGCCATTTATAAATTGCACCGCCACC